GCATGCCTCAAAAATTTGCCATGCCCCCAACCCTAATAAGTTTACAAAAATAGATGATGAGTGGGACATAATAGAAAAATGCATCACACTAGCAGCTAATAAAAATTATCAAAAAAAAAGAAAAAGTCTGAAATAAAACAAAGTAGTAGAGAAGATAAAAAAACAAAAGCAATAAGATTGGCAGTTAAAGCATTTAACAAAGATACTGCAAAAGTAAGAAACACATACTGCAAGACCAGGAAAAAAGTGAGATCTTATCAGCATTTGAAAAACTCAAAACTACAGTAAACACAATAATGGAAATAGATATAGAGACAGATCTATTTTGCAGTAAGGGTCTAAAGAATTGGGCAAAAATTTTATACAAAGAATGGTAACAAAAAATTCAGAAGCTAGAAGAGTTAGAGATTAAAAAAAATATAGAGGAAAGACACAGTCTAATTGTATCCAACCAGCGAAAAATGTTAAATAGTCTACTCAACAGATTATATAGGCAAATTAAAATAAACAGAATCATTATAAACAAGGAAGATAAGATAGAGCTAATACAGAAGCCAGAAGAGGTACTCTCAGAAGTTAAAAATTACTTCAAAAAACAATTCTGCAAAAGAAATATAGCACAAGCAGAGGCGCTACTACCTAAATAGAGAAATCAGTATGTATCAAGAAAAGACATAGAGAAGTTATGGTATGAAAACATGACAGATAGTATAAGTGCTACTGAGTGAGAGCAGGCTTTGAATCAGGTCAAAACCAAGTCAGCCCCAAGAACTTCAGGTATCATGTACCTCCTAATTAGAAAAGTAAGCAAAAGTACAAGACAGCTTTTTCTCAACTTTGTATCGAGATGTCTTAAAGAAGGTAGTATGCCAAAGAAGTGGAAGTTAGAAATGCTCTACCTAATACTTAAAATCAAAGACTGGTGTTTCAATCTAAACAATGTGTGCCCAATCCTTCTACTCGAAGCATTCAGAAAAACAGTAGTCAGAATCCTCACGAACAGGCTTGCAAAAGTCCTAAGGGAAAAAGAGATACTAAAAGGCAGAAATTTTGCAGGCCTCCCAGAAAAAAGGTACTATGATACCGATATAGCTCATTAACTGTATTGCAGAGGAGGCAAAAAAAAAAAAGAAAGAATTATGGCTACTGTTTTAGGATATGAAAAAAGCCTTTGACTTAGTTGGGCTCGAAATGTTAAAATTAGCATTATAGAAAATCAAGATTTTACAAATCACAATTAATTTTATTATAAACTTGTTTGAAAATTAGAAAATGGAGGTCTTAACAAGCCTGGGTATAACAGAAAAGTTTATAGCAAGTGATAGTATCGACCAAGAAGAAGTAATTTCACCTCTCATATGGAGGATCTTTTATGACCTACTCCTAGCAGAGATTCAAAATAAAGACAAGAGAGGGTACAAATTAAAAGTCAGATAGCCAAAAAACCTAAGCAAGATGGAGACAATATATACATATACTAGTTATTGCATATGCAGATAATACTATCTACATTGCCTCCAGTAAAGAGGAGCTAGAAGAAATTATTAATATAGTACAAGAATTTTACAAGATAAACAATATTGGAATTAATAGCAAGAAATCAGAGCTTCTGGTAATAGGTAGTGAGAAGACTAAAATCCCAAAATATATCAAGATGAGAGCAATAGATAAAAAAGTTATAAAGAAGAAAATCAATAAAGTGACAAGATTTCTGGGCATTTGGTTATCTAGAAAAGCCAACTACTTATACATAATTGATATTATTAAAAAAGAAATACAAGCGATAATTAAAGCAATATATAAAAAAAACACAACTCTTGCATAGCTAGTCTATATAAACAATAGGGTCCTAATCCCTAGACTAGAATACAGGATACAACACTGTATTATCCCAAGAGCCCAGTGCGACAAACTGCAGAGCCTAGTGCTTAAAGTTATTAAAAATAAGTCAGAATTGGCAAACATGACTGCAAATGTAATTATGATATACAGAAACATAGTAGGGCTTAAAATAGTATAGTAAAACCAAATGGTCTATTATATAACCAAGTTAAGAAAAAGATTAAATAGTAAGAATGAAGTAGGCAAGGCAATATAGATCAGAATATAGCAAGCCCAGATTGATTGCAAGAGTATATAGTGCATAATGGGGCTAGATAGTGAAAGGCTAAAAAGAATACAGTTCAAACATAATTTGGTATACAAAATTATAGCAGCAGCCAAAGAGATGAACTTAAGTATAAGATCCAAAGAAAGAAAAGATTATCTGAGGCTCACAGAGTTAGGCCTCAAAATTATCAACCTTCTAGATGATATTGATGTAAAAAAAGTTTGCACAAGAAAAAGAAATGGTGATCATAGTACTTGAGCAGTTATTAGATAAAGAAAGGGTAAACTTGTTTTTATAAAACCAAATTAAAAAGTGCAAAAAACAAAAAGCAATAGGAAAACCTCAAACTGGTTTAAAAAAATTAAAGAAAAGGTTCTCGAGAAGAATAACAAGATGAGACAAGTCAAACCAGATCTAAAACAAGAACACTTAATCTCTTGTCACCCCAAGTAATCACTTTACCAATAAGTAGTAAAAAAGAAGGAAAGAATAGGTACTAATTGGGTTTGGCAATGCAACAGAGATAGGTAAAGTAATAGAAAAAAGAGGAAAAAGACAGTCATAATCGAGCATTAGAAAGCTACTTCCAACTAGCAAGAGAATACACTTATGCTCACCAAATATAAAAGCTGTGGTACAAATATAAGAGAATATAATAAAGCAAGTATCTCCTGTATAAAAAGAGGCTAGAAAAATAAAATAAAAGCAATCAGCCCTAGATTTATTCAGAAAGTGGCCAACCAAAAAGAAGTACAAAAACTGTAGATCTCTCTAGGCTACTTTACAGATATACACCAACAGGAAAGACCTCTTTCAAGTAATCAAGAAAGCAACCAGAAACTATATATAAGTGATATTATTATATACCCACTAGAGGAAGAATTAATAGACCAAGTGATTGAAAATATACAAGTAGCAATAGAAATTAAGAAAGCAGCAGCTAGGCTAAGAGGAGAGAAGAAGATTTTCTTCTATATAGATGGCTCTTTGCTTAACCTGACCAAAAAGCCAGAAAAGAAAAAAATAGGCCTAGGCTGGGTAATGGTTCCAGGAAAGGGAGACAAAGCAAACAGACAAGTAATAGCTAGGTTTGCTAGAGCACTAAAAGACTGGCCATTCTCAACAAGAGCAAAGCTAGATACAATATAGACAGCTTTGCTAGCAGTTCCATACAAAGCAAGAATCAAGATTTGCACTGATAGTGCAGTGGCAATACAGACAATACAAACAAGCCAAAACAAAGACAAGGCCTCAGAAATACTAAAGAAAAAAAATTTGTGTTTCTTGGAGCAAATACAAAGAACTATTGATCTAAAAGAGTTAAGAATTTGGTTTACCAAAATAAAAGCATATAGTGGGGTAAAAGAAAATGAGGCAGCGGACAAGCTCGCAAAAAAATATGCCCATGATGCAGTTGTAATCATCCCAAGATGGCTATGGAACAAAAATGTAGCAACAGAGCTAAAGTGGAAAGACCTCAGAATAGATGATGCTATACAAAGTTTTATTATGTGATTAACAGAGATTAACATAGATACAGAATGGAAAAATCTTAAGAGCATAAATGGCTAGGTAGATCAAAAATCAGAAACTGAAGCAGTTATGTGGAGCAAGGTCTAGAAAGGTATAGAGCAGGTGAAAGAAAAGAACTACAGAAATACAAACCAAAACAAAGAATGGATTTTTATAATAAAGTGCTTAAATGGCTTACTCCCAATAATGCAGGTTCTAAACAGAAGAAAGACAGAGATATATACAGACAGTATCTGCAAGATATGCTATCAAGAAACAGAAACGCAAGACCATCTTGCCATATACTCAGAACTTCAGAATTTGTGAAGCATTATCAAGTGAACTGCTGATAAAAAAGGCAGCAAAAGAAAAAGAGAAGTTGAAAATCTCAGACATGCACAAAATACAGAAGCTAATTTTCAGCAAAAACATGCAAGAAAGAACTATAGCAAGAATAGAGATGATAAAGGGGTTATTTACAAAACATAGATAAAATAATCTATACAAAATCCTAGGTGAAACAAGAAGAGCTAGCAAGTTCACCCAGGCTATTTTCAACTACTTCCAGCACCAGTTCTTCAAGCATATATGGAGCTTTAGATACAAACTAGTTGCAGATTGGGAAAAAAGGAATGATATAACCAAAGAGAAAAAAAGAGAAAAGAAGAAAAAAAAGAAGCCCAAAGAAATGAAAGAAGTAAACAAAGAAAACATAGCTCCACAAGATCACAGCCAAGAGGGAAAAGTAGCAAAAGTAGGTAAAGCCAAGAATAAAAAGAAGAGTTTAAAAACAAACGAAAAAGACAGAATAATTGAAGATTGGATCTCATAGGAAAAGAAGCCAGCATGGTCCTCACTAACCAAGATCTGAAATAACCAATAAGCATTTTTGACAAGATATACGATAGCCTATTTATAACCAAAGAGGTACCAGACAATGGTGGAAATCCTTAGTAAGTTAAGGAACCCAAGAAAGGTAAATAGTTGTTATAGCAGGTTGTACTAGATATTTAACCTGGTGAGTCTTTATTAAGATAAAGCTACAAGTTGTAAGAATTTGGTACTTTGTACATAAATGATATAACAGTTCACATAAATAAAGGCAGGATCACTTAAAAAAAAAAAATAAAAATAAATCTAGATATATAAAAATAAAAAAATAATAAAAATGAATAAAAAAAAAGATTAAAAAATATATAAAAATAATCATAAAAAAAATATAAAAAAACAATAATATATATAAAATAAAATAAAATAAAAATATAAAAATGAATATAAAAAAATTTTTATAAAAAAAAAAATTGAAAAGTGATATATAAAAATAAATAAAGAATAATAAAAAATAATATATAAAAATGAATAAAAATAAATAAAATCTTTATTTTGCTTCATGATAACTAGTATTGTCAGAAGGAGGTAGTGGAGGCAAAATATTTGAAGATGTGAAGGATGTAAACAGAACATTTAAAGATATAGAAGATGTAGACAGAAAGATTGAAAATGTAAAGGGAGTAGATAGAATATCTTGGATAGTTGCGAAAGGTTGTGAATCATCAGAAATAAAATCGGAATAATACGAATCGTAAGAGGAGTCAGGAGCGAAAACCTTGACTGAAGCAACTTTCGAATGTTTGCCTTTTTTATTAGAGCATGCTAGATGAACAGCTCTTTTTCTTTTTTGACCCTAGCTACTTGATGCTACTATAGGTTATTTATCTTTGGTAAGAGATTCTTTATTATCAGTAGCTAGGGGGTAGAAGTTATCACCAACTAATAGCTTTTCCTTATTAAAATTAAATATTATAGAGTTAATTAAACATATTTTTTTTTTTTTTTTAACTTCAGCAATCTTGCCTTCACTTTATTAGGCTTTGTAATAATTCTCTAAACTATTAAAATTTTTCAAAGAGTTAAGCTCTTCGGTACCTAAATTACAAGTGAAGACTTACCCAGTTGCTTACTGAGTACCTATGTGCAACCTGCTATAGTAAAATTTACCTCTATACTATTTTATCCTGCATTTGGCTTCGATAGTACTTCAATGGCAGTTCTTACTATTAGAATGTAAATTGATGTCCCAGCCAAGTCATGTTTTTTTTCTATTTTTTTTTATTATTAATTAATTAATTATTTATTTATATTAGTATAGCCTTACTATACCTGTATATAGTTATTTATTTATATTTTCATCCTGCTTATACCTTTGTTTACCTTTAAGAACCGTGGTAGCTACGTATATGAGTATTAGTATATGAGCAGTTGAGGCTAAAGTAAACATTAGGGTGAGCAGTTGGGGGCTGAGGTGTATATTCGAATAAGCCATAGCTTAGTGACATGAGTAGTGTGGCTTTATGTTACCTTAGAATGGGTTAATCACAGGCAAAGCAACTGCTCACGAAAAGGTAAACCACTGCTCACGAAGGAATAAACAACTGCTTATAGGAGTTTGAGTGACTTATTCCTAGATAGCATTCTTTAGTATAGCCTTCACGAATGAAATTATATAAATAGAAGTCCTTTTTGCCTTTCTAAAAAGGACAGTTCGAGATAGAATTATGAAGAGAGTTATCTATTAAGTTCTAAATAAATAAATCACTATATATTATAAAAGAAA